TTGCCTAGATCAGTCATTTCAAATTCATTCATTAGAACCTTCTTAAACTTGGCTATCTCCTGTTCAGAACTTCCAGTTAATAGTATATCATCCACATATAAACATACCAGAGTCATATTGCCTTCAGAAGTATGCTGAACATAGACACCGTACTCCATCTCACATTTCTGAAAGCCTTGCTTCTTGAAAAATGAATCAATTTTCTGATTCCAAGCTCTGGGCGCTTGTTTCAATCCATATAGAGCTTTGTATAATCTGTACACCATCCTTTCCTGATTCTTTTTCACAAATCCAGGAGGTTGTGACACGTAAACTTCTTCTTCTAATGGACCATTCAGAAATGCAGATTTTACATCTAAATGCATCAGAGGCCAATTCCAGTTAGCAGCTATTGCAATCACCATTCTGATTGTTTCATGTCTTGCTACAGGTGCAAACACTTCAGAGTAATCCAGCCCAGGTTTTTGTAGAAATCCTCTGGCTACCAACCTTGCTTTATGTTTGCCAATTGAGCCATCTGGCTTTAACTTCTGCTTGAAAACCCATCTGACGCTGATGGCTTTCTTGTCTTTTGGAAGTTCTGTCAGCTTCCAAGTCTTGTTTCTCTCTATAGCATCAAGTTCTTCTTTCATGGCCTTCAGCCAGAGCTTCTGCTTAAGAGCCTCCTCTGTACTTATAGGTTCAGAGTCTACTAACATGGCACATTGAATAACTTCTCCTTCAGAGTCTACTTTAGTGTCTTGCAGCATGTCAAATTCTGCAAATCTTCTGGGAACGCTTCTGATTCTTTGTGGTCTCTGAACTTGTTCAAAGTCTTGAGCTTCAGAGCTTCCAGCTTCAGATGGTTGACTTCCTCTAGAGCTTTGACCATCTTCAAGATCTGGCATATTTTCAGAGTCTTGGCCATCTTCAGAGTCTGAATTTCCACCAGAATCTGGATTACCATCAGAGTCTGGATCATCAGAGTCACCTTCATCTTCTGAGTCTTCTCCAGAGTCAGAATCACTATCAGAGTCAGAATCAACGTCAGAGTTTACTTCAACTTCAGAAATTCTTAACTCTGACCTTTCTTCAGAAGTTCTAACATCAGAATCAGATTGAGACTTATCCCAATTCCAAACTTCTGATTCGTTCACAATCACATCTCTGTTGAATTCAATTTTATTGGTTTATGGACAATAGAGCTTGTATGCACCTGTACTGTGGTACCCTATCAGAATCATCACTTTGCTTCTATCATCCAGCTTCTGTCTTCTGGCTTCTGGAACATGTTTATAGCAAACAGAACCAAACACCTTCAGATGACTAACACTTTGCTTGTCTCCAGTCCACTTCTGCATAGGAACTATTTCCTTCAACTTCTTCGTAGGACATCTGTTGAGTACATACGTTGCAGTGGCAACAGCTTCTCCCCAGAGCTTCTGAGGAAGCTTCTTCTCCTTTAGCATGCTTCTCACCATATCAAGCAAAGTACGGTTTCTTCTTTCAGCAAGACCATTGTGTTGAGGGGTATAAGGAGCAGTAACCTCATGCTCAATTCCATTCTTCTCACAGAACTTCTGGAACTCTTTGGAGTTATACTCACCTCCACCATCAGTTCTAAGAATCTTCAACTTCTGACCACTCTGATTCTCAGCCTTCATTCTGAACTTCTTGAATTCATCAAACACCTCATGTTTAAATTTAATAAGGGATACCTATGTCATTCTTGTGAATTCATCAACAAACAACACAAAGTACTTATTCCCTCCAATTGATGCTACTGGAAATGGACCACACACATCAGAATGTACAGCTCCCAAGACATGTTTTGCTCTTGGAGCAACTTCTGACGCAAATGGCAAACGTGGTTGTTTTCCTTCCATGCAAACTTTGCATGACTTTTCAGGCTTCTTAATTGCAGGAATTCCATGTACCAGCTTCTTTGAATTCAGATGTTTTAGGCTTCTGAAATTCAAATGACCAAATCTTCTGTGCCACAGCTCACTCTCCTTCTCAGCACATGTTGCACTAAGACATTCTGAGTCTGCAGTTCTGACATTCACCTTGAATGTTCTATTCCTTCCCTGTTCTGACTCCATAATCAACTTCTGATTGCAGTCATACAACTTTAGAAGATTGTCCTTCATGGTAACTGAAAAACCTTTCTCAATTAATTGTCCCACACTCATCAGATTGCTTCTGATGCCAGGTACATATCACACGTTCTGAATCAATGTTGTTTTCCCATTGTTCAGAGTCACTCTGACATTTCCCATACCTTCTGCATTAAGATATTTGTCATCAGCACATCTGATCTTTGTCCTCTTTTCAGAGTCAAAGTCAACCAGCCATTTCTTGTTTCTAGTAAGATGATTTGAACAGCCAGTGTCCATATACCACCAGTCTGTCAGATCATCAGATTCAGAGGCCATCAATAGCACAAATTCGTCATCAGAACTTCTGGCTATATTTGCTTCTTCTGATTTCTTCTCCTTGTTTGACCAACAATCTCTAGCAAAGTGACCAAACTTCTTACAACAGTAACATTGGATCTTCTTCTTGTCATACTTCTCTTTTCCCTTCTGGGCATTCTTTTGCCTATCAGAGATTGAGCTTTCTGACTTCTGACCACCATCAGATCTTCTCTTGGCTTCTAACTGCTTCTGATACCTCCTATCAGAAGTTGCTTTCAGAGCCTGCTGCTCTACTTCCCTTTCAGAAGTTCTCTCAGTCAAACGCAACTCTTGCGCTTCTAAACTGCTCTACAACTCTTCAATTCTCATGGTACTCAGATCTTTGGAATATTCTATTGCTACCACAATGTAATCAAATTGAGATGTAAGGGATCTCAATACCTTCTCCATGATTGTTTCTTCAGAAAGAGTTTCTCCACACGCCTTCATCTCATTAGTGATCAGAATCACTCTGGAGACGTATTCAGAAACTTTCTCATTATTCTTCATGTTGAGATTCTCATATTGCTTTCTCAAGGACTGAAGCTCCACCTTCTTCACTGATGCGTCACCACCATAACATCTAACCAGTGTGTCCCACGCAGCCTTTGCTGTCGTTGAATCTGCAATCTTCTCAAACACATTTACATCAACACATTGATGAATAAAGAATAATGCTTTCTGATCCTTCTTCCTTACTTCCTTCTGCGCGTTTTTCTGTTCATCTGTTGCATCTACTGCTACCGGAACATAACCATCAGTGACAAGATCTAAAACATCTTGAGCACCAAACAGTATACGCATTTGGATCATCCAACGATTCCAATTTTTACCGTCAAATACTGGAAGCTTGGTGTTCATGTTGCCGTTTTCGTTCATCTTCACCTTGCACAATACACTCAATGTTTCTCACACAGTGTTTCCCAACCCACAGAATAAAATTCTGATCAGATTTTGTTCAAGATTCAACACGAATCTAAGAATCAAAATCAAACACACAAGACCTCACGTTCACTCGTGTTTCCCGTGTTTCCCAATGAATCTGAACCGGAGCTCTAGATACCAATTGTTGGTGCAAAGGTGAATAAATGATGAACAAAGGAAATATTCTATTAAGAATGACGGCTACAAAAAAACATGATAATAGTTACAATGATTGTCACCCTATTTATAAGCTAAAACTAGGGTTACTAGAATAAGATAAAATACTAAAATACCCTCTAACAAACTTAGGGGCTAAGAAAATAGTATAACTAAATAAATATGAATTACTATTAATATTCTAATACAATTATAGAGGCAACAAACGTTACAGGAAGGTATATCAATGAAGAGAGACCTATAAATAAGGAGTGCTTGAAAAACAAAAAGGAGGGCTGATATACAATACTTGTACACAAAACAAACACCTTAACCATTCAACTAAGACTTTCCTCGAGATATAACAAGGAAGTTAACCTTTTAGTATTTTAGCAAGAACAACTACCATCCACCTAAAGTGGATCCGCTAGTGCATGTCACCAACAACTAAAATAAAATTTAAATATCTATTAATATTTGTGAAATGCTAACGAGTATTTATAGGACATTGATTAAAAGATTAAAAAGATAAGTTAAGTTTTTTTTAAAAACTACAAATATATGTTTTTCTAAAATATATGTTTATTTAATATACTAAAAACATAAATAATTATCTTTTTTAAAAAATCTTATATATTTTCAATAAATTAAATATATAATATTATTTTTCTTATTTGAAATTTTTAACGAGCACTCCGAAGACACTATTTATGTCATAACATATTAGAATTTGGTGGGAATTATTTTCCACCTTTTGCTTTGTATTTTTTTTCTTTGCCTATATATTAAAAATCACTTTTCAATATTTTTTTTCTGATTTATCACACCCGTAAACAAATTCTTAAAGCTTAAACAAACAAACAATTTTTTTCTTCTAATCAATAAAATTGACTTCTTTCTCAAGTAGTTAACAGCAAAACGGTTCGTAAGTTTTGAGGGAGGAGGCCAGTTCTTTGAATTCCACGACTATTACAGTTAGATCTGTTATTTTATAAATGTGCTACAATTTAAAAAAAAAAAAACTATAATTAATAAAAGTGTTATATTTAAAAAAAATAACTATAATTAATAAAAATATTATAGTAACTAAAACTCAATTTATCTAAAAAATATGTGTAAAATAAAAAATAAAAAAAAGTAATAATAATAATAATAATAAAGAGAGAGCATTGATTAAAAATTCTTAAACACAAACTTAATACTGAAACCACAAATATATAAATAACAGAGTTATAATTAATTTGTTCGAGCAAATTAATACAACTCTGAATATACATAATAATAACACCACCACTTTCTTATTTATGATTCTTAAGTACTACATATCACAACTTTGAAGCTACAATACATGAAGCTTTTTAATCTTATAATAACATAATTATCCAAAGTATAGCTTACAAACTCCAATGACATAATTTGTATTTAAGAATAGAATACCTCATGGATGGATGGATCATAGATATATATATAGTTAAGGGTGGTTCTTTAACAATTTGGGATGGTAACACCACAAGAATTAGCAACATTTCTAGCACCAGGAGAGTTAACATACTCTTTCAAATTAGGGTTTCTGACATATTGACATAAGCATGGCTTTTGATCATTCAACCTGGTGCAACAACCGAGAGAAGGTTTGGTGTTTGACATGATTGCCGGTAGACATGGACTCAATTGCACTGGGTTACAGTTCGCAGCCTCAGCAATGGAAACAAGCTCAACCATAAGGACTAGGGCAAGTATCATTGCAGACATGGCTTTCATCTTCATCATTTTCTTACTAGATTGATTTCTAGTTGGGTTGTGAGTGAGTGTGAGTTGTGTTTGATGAATTGGGTGTGTAGGAGTATGTATTTATATAGGTGGAAAATTAGAATGGGTACTATGTTAGTGCGTTTGGGTAGGTGCTCGACTCAATGAATATTTATTGCACCTTAATTTTAGTGGAGAGTTATGTACTCCTACTATAATTGACATTTTGCCGACAAAAATTATAATGGGCGTTGAGATGGAGTTATTATGCATTTACTCCATTTCTACTTTGTGGCATTTCTATTTTTTTAACCAAGGTTTTGTTTTTGTACAAGTATGGAGACTCATACCTCAATTACTCCTTCCCAAATTATAAGTGATTTGAGTATGTCAAACAAATTACAAAAGAATTTAATTACTATACACTCATACTAGAAAAATATTTTACAATGAATTAATCAGAAATATTTAACTTTTATTTTAATCATCTTTAAAATAATACAAATAATTGATTGTGATAGATCGTATAAAATTTTTTACATCTATAATACATATCAATTAATCTAATTAAAAAATGTGTTCAACTTTTACGAGAAAGAAAAATATCTAAAGAACAATCCCAATTAGTTAATTTTGATTTAAAATATGATAAAATTGATATATAAATAGAATGCAAACAAACAATAAGCTTTCTCTAGGGATAGAAAACTAAAAAGTGTTAAAAGAAAAATGGAAGGAAGCATATAAATTGTTAAAATACGTTCTCTTTTTTTAATACTTGATCACTTTATTTAAAGCGGTTTTGGGAGTAATATGTTTTAAAGTAAAATCTATTATCCACTCATTTACGCATAAATTCAATCTATTTCATATATTAAAAAATAATAAATAGTAAATGATACATTTAAAAAATCATTAATACTTCATTGAAATGGTAATGTGGCTTATAGTTTGAGTTTTTTAAATTACAACGTAACTTTTTTTAAACGTAAATAATAACATAAAATAAAAACGATTGAGAAAATTGAGATCTCAAGATACAACTAAAAATTTGTACTTGTCCAAAAAATATAGATATGTGTTACTTCTATGCGGGTAGGGGTGTGCGGAGGTTTTAAGGTTTTCGATGGTTTAGAGCAAGTTCATGGTGATAACAGACCCTGTCTCGAAGGTGTTTTGCGTGTCGATAGAGCAAGCTCGCGTGAGGTGAGAAATTATGTTTTTTTTTTTGGTGTGTTTCGTTTGTATTTAGAATATCTCTTTGATCTTTAGGTTTAGGTATTTATAGAGGCTTGTGGGTCATATTTTTCGGGATCCCTATAAAGTAGCAATCGTTCCACCTTGACCAAAGTTGTTGATTGCCTACTTCTTAAGGAGACGTGACCAGAACTTCTTGCACATGCAGTTATAGGCTATGTACACATCATCGTTTATGTTTCCTCTTAGGGTGAACCATCTATTAAATGGGGTTAGGCTTATGCGGTGTATTATGGGATGTGTGTTCGATAAGGACAGATCTTGTGTTGCCCCACTTATAGACTTTTACAAATATATCATTACACAGTCCCTCAAACATAAAGGCTTATAAAAGGAGAAATGTTTTAAGCTCAACATTTTTTAGCTTAAGTCCTTAAGTTAGAGATGAGTCCCTCAGTTAGAGTCGAGTCCCTCAATTTGGGGTGAGTCCCTAGTTAAGGGGGAGTCATCAAGCCCCTGCCAAGTGCTTCCTGTGTAGCTGGTGTGTCAGCTAAACGATATCAAACATGAGTCAATTGATTTTTATACACGTCAAAATGTTATTCAGTTGTGAAAGCTTGATCATTTAGGTGGAAAGAAGAGTGTGTGGCATTTAATGATGCTCATGATGGTTTTCTTGGGGAAATCCAGTCTAATTTCTTTCCTTACATATATCCTTGACGTGTGGAACCCCCCTTTCATTTATTGTAACAGTTATGCTATTAGGCAGGTATGTTTCTTATGCTATTGGTTTTTCCTTATAAAGGTCTTTGGCTTACTTTTCAACCAAAAAAACATTGCCTTTTCCCTTTCATTTTAGATTTTCTGTTTTGTTCAACCAGAGTAAATTCACAGGTGCAGTAGTGCTTCTTTAAGTTTGAATAGGACAAAGGGAGATTACAAGGTTCTTTCGTATCTCATAGATCCAAGCACTATAGTTTTTATCTTCTTCTCTCTCATCACAAATTAATGGCCATGAAGAAAGCTAAATGTGTTCACATTCGAGATATTGTGCCTTTATATTCTGACTCTAACATGATTACATGGTTTGGTCAGGATATTGGGTTCTTAAGTACAAGGCACGAAGAGGATGTAATCCTGGAGCTCTATTAAGAAATGGAGAGAGCCAATATGAACATCATGGATGGTTTGACTGCTCTTTCTTTTTACTTGCATCTCCATGTTATTCATGAATTAGGAGTTATGATACCCTTTACGCCTTTTAAGGTAAACTTTCTGGAAACCATTAATGTGCCACTTCCCAAATCATGCCCAATGTATGGAGCATCATCAAGGCCTTTGAGATCAGTTGTTGTCATCTTGGCGTCCTCCCTACCGTCGAGATATTTCTTTCATTTTATGGCCTAGAGTTCCTCCCCATACATGGTTGGTAACTGTATGCTCTTTATCTTGTATGTGTTTGTTGGAACCCTACACCGAGTGTGATGAGAATTGGAATGATAAATTCATGTGGGTTAGAGGGTGAGATGGCGCCTACATGGTGATTAAAGAGGTGACAAGTTCCTTTCATTTTCTTTTGTCGTGGACAATGAATTCTCAGCTCATTAAATAAATAGACTTCATTGACCTTTTCTCCTATTGAGAGAGACATGATCTAGGTTTTAAATTATTTCCAACTTATGAGCTCTCGTACTCACCCTGGACCGAGAAGACGACAACAGGGTAGAAAAGTATCTTGGTAAGCTTTATAATATAAAAGGAACCCTCTGCTTGGTATCTTTCTTGCTGAATTATATATTATGACATTCTTGTTGTGAATAGAAAATGTCTAGAATCTCGCTTACTGAGAGGAGGGAGCACTTGATTCATATGCAAGCTGAACAACGACCTGCAACCATCTCTCTGTCCTTCCCTAGGGATTTGTCGAGGACTGATAATAAGAGGTAGAGAAAGACATATAGGGATGTTAGTGTTCACCAAACCAAGAGTCAAACATGGAAGGAAAATCGCTATGGGCCTTTGGGAGATACACAGATACCCGCCGAGGGAGGAAAAATAGGCTAAGGACCTGGTTCGAGGACTCGAGCTCCTCGACCCTTCTTTTAGTGATATCGAGTTCATTGGGCACTATCTGCCTTTTTCATAGAGTTTTCCCAAAGACTACCAGTCACTTAATAATAAGTCTCCTTCCTATCTATCGAGACTTTTAAAGGTTCAAATGTTGAGATGCCTCCTTATGGAGAGATTCCAATAGGAAAACCATCTCTAGAAAATTGGTGAGTTGCACTCCAGACTTGACTTTGTCACAAAGTGCATTCAAAAACCTTAGAGCATGGTGTTATCCATGGAAAATGAGCAATATGATCTGAAATCCCTCGACTTGAAGGTGGCTGTAAAATTACAGGCCTATGTTCTAAAGGGGATATGTTTAAGGGATCACTCGAAAAGGTCGTCATCTCCATAAAATACCTAGATAAGGAGACATTATCTCTCAAAGATGAGGCAGTGGTTACCTCTGATCAATATTTTGAGAGAGAGAATGAACAAGTAGCCTTCCTTAACCCAAACTTGGACCAGAGTTGACTGGATATGTTCAAGTTGGTTCGGGATGGTCAGCTAGTGGATGATGAGTAGGTCCTTTGGCGGTTCTTATGTATCTAGGTTTCCATTTTCTAAATTCCATTCTCTTGTGATTTTTTTTGTATTTGTTTTGTCTACCCCTTTTGGGGGGATACATTCAATGTATAATGTTATTTTGGGTATCATACACGATATTTCTTGCTTAGAACATGTTTCTAATGAAGAGGTTTCTTACGTAAGAATCCCAAATTTTAGTGCTTTTTAGGATGGCAAGAACTTCTCCAAGAGGGTCCAATTTATTTTGATTGCTTCCAAGGGAGGCATGGACCCCTCTATGAGGATCCATAATTTCTGATATCCTCAAAGGGTGACAAGGATCCCTCTATGAATATCTAAGTCTTTTTATTCCCATAAAGGGAAGAAAGGATCCCTCTACGTGATCTAGCTTTTCGGTCACCTCAAAGGGAAGAAAAGATCTTTTATGAGGATCGATCTAACATGTTTGATCTCCTCAAAGGGCGGTGAGGATCCAACTTTATCCCTCCTCCTATGGTGGTTTCCTTCAGTTTCATGTGAAGAAAAGAAAATACGGCAATGCAAATAATTTAACATAATTAAACAGGGAGCCTCGTTAAAAACTCATGCCCTCTCACGCGGCACAAAGGAAAAGAGCGCTTCCCTGAAAACAACTTATCCTCACAATTGGTAGAGATACATTACTCTCCTTTATAAAAAAAATAATTGCAACAAAAAAAGAAAACAATGATAAAGTGAGAGTGCTTCTGGGGCCTTTCTACTGAGTCGTAATTATTCTTTCTTATCGCCCTATTGAGTAAGAGCCTTTTCATCTTTTAGGACTTCTTTTGGAAAGTTGGACTATATGAACCATGCTTTTTGTGTTTAAGCCTAGTGTTCAGACTATTTTCAGCTTTAAAATCTCCACATAGAATTTCCTGGAGATTTATTGGTCTCCTTATATGACTTTAACCTACCCGTCAGAGAACAGATATTTCATGGATAAATATAAAGTAGAAAAGACGACACCAAACTAATTAAAAGATGATCGCCATATGGTCATGTTATAAGAACAGGGGGAGTCTATAATTAGGTAATTGGCCTTGATCTGCTTGGCTTATTTTCCTACCTCGAAGGTGGTCTTCAATGCCATGTAGCCTTTCACTTGTACTTGCACCCCAAAAAACCTAACTAGTGACCCCTTGAAAGCTTTTGGGTCACTTGGGTCA